GAGAGGAGCGGGGGCGGGGAAGGAGGGAGGGACTGGAGAGAGAGAGGAGAGAGAATATGAATGAATTCGTTCTTCTCCAGGCTGACTAGGGCTTGACGCTGGGAGTGACATCACGCTCTTGGAGAGTCCCAGCCTCACTCTTGCAGGCCTCAACTTGACACCTATGTTTCTATATGACCTGATTACACCCACTGCTGTGCAAGGAATAAACATACCTGGTGTTGGGGAGAGGGGGTAATCTCTGCACGGAGCACTGCTTATGCCTTTATCATGTGTGTCATTATGTTGGCTATAGGGAGGCAGGCACAGGAGAAGCTCTCCTGCTGAGCTAGACCTTGGGGAGCTCCAGATGGGGAGCCATTTTCTCTAACAAAAGTTCCCTGATTACTCAATGTGTCCATAGTACATTGTCACCTCGGGCACGCTTACTTTAGCAAAACATTGTCTGTGATGGTGCCATGGCGTATCTGTTATCGTTATTTGTAATTTTTCTCATGGTGTAGGCAGAGAAGAATGCCTATGTCAATAGAGATTGGAGCTATTATCTAAGAACAGTTGGCCCCACAGCTCAGCGTGAAAGGAAAAACAGATGAAAGAGGGTCCTTTCTCCCAATTCTATCCATCCAGGCCATGAAACTTGAATGAGGACCCACCTAGCAGCATATGGCAGATTGTATTTTCCAAAGATGTCCACTTATCCTACATGCTCTCTGCAATGTCACCTTGCCACTCTTCACTAAGAAGTGGGTTAAATTCCCCTCCCCTGGAATCTGGTTGGCCTTAGTGACTCCCATGTAAGGTGGCCAGGTTTAGCAAATAAAAATGCAAAATACCCAGTTAAATTTGAATTTCGGATATAAACAAACAATGAATGATTTTTTATATAAGTATGTTCCGTGCAATATTTGTATTTTATCTAGAAGCCTACTCTTATGTACCCAATAGAATGTGACAAAAGGGATGCATGTGACTTCTAAGGTTAGGTTAGAGGAAACCTTGCAGCTTCTTCCTTGGCCTCATAGAACACTTGCTCTGCTGATGCTGCCCCTCTGCATGCACCTTCTTAGAAACCAGCAGCCATGCTGTGAGAAGCCCAGCCCCACACAGAGGCTCCACTCAAAGATCCCAGCCCGGACACCATGCATGTGAGTGAGCAGGCTTCCCCACAGAACTTTCTATGTTGATGGAAATGTTCTCTATCTGTACTGTCCCTTATGGTAGCCACAAGCTACATATGGCTATTGGGCCTGAAAATGTGATTAGTTCTACCAGTAACTGAATTTTAAATTTTATTTAATTTTAATTAATTTAAATGAGTATTTAAATAGCCACATCTGGCTACTGTATTGGACACTACAGTTCTAGATGATTTCAGTAGCCAGGCCTTGGAGTCACAACTACCTGTTTGAGTCTTCCAAGCCAAAGCCCCAGGTATTATGGCACAGAGAAAAGACACCCCCGCAACAGTGCCCTGTCCAAATCACAGAATCCGGAAGCATAATAAATAGAGGTTGTTTTCTGTTGATCTCTTTGGGGTGGTTTGTTATGCAGCATTAGGTAATAAGACCAAAATGAAATGTGCCAAGAAAAGATTACCTAGAGGAGAGCGCCAGACGCAAAGACCTCAGTGCCAGGAAGTACGCCAGTGCAGAGGACAGCCCCAGGGACTGCAGAGAAGGCCCACGAAAAGCGCAAAGGGTCAGCGATCTGTAGTTCAACAGTGTCCGCCAGTTCCTGGTGTCCCGGAAGGACTCAGGCCCGGCAGGTGAAGATCTTTTGCTGGCCAGGCTCTACCTCTTGTCAGCAGTGACATCTCAAGTCACTTTTAATTTTGATCCTCAATTTCTTAATCTATAAAGTGAGATTAAAATGATCTACCCAGGTTGTCGTAGTTGCTGTAGCATATTGTTGGAGGATCAGATGAGACTGTGGAATGAGGGCACATTGTTTGCTCCTTACACTGGAATCCATTCTTTTGTAGCTGCTCGGTCCTCGGCTCTGCAACAGTTTTGCAAACTGACTGCAGCAGCTCCTGTTTCACTTTCAGGAACTCTGTAGTCTTAAGAGCCAAATTCTTATTAAATACACTTTGGTCTTGAATTGAGTTGCTCTGGAAAATTGCCAACTGTGCCAGCAAAATCAATAGTTCGTGGCACAATTTAGATGAAACCTCACTGTTAAAAGAAACCTCATTGATTTTATAGGTATCCTGTGGGGCTCAGTTTCTGTGGGAGCCTTTAGCTCTGCCTTGCACACTTTGCTGAAGCTGGTTTCCAAGGATGATCATCCAGATGGACCTGGGGTGTAAGGCCCTACTTGCCTGGATGGATTTGCTTCAGTGCTTGGGCATCTGAGAGCAGGCCCTCAGTGCTCTCTCACCATTGGGGATGTCAAGGTAATTGTGGCTTGTCACTGAATTCTAATCAAGGAGAAGAAGCAAGCTTATGCATGACATCTAGGGAAGAGCATAAGACATGTATACTTTCAAGGGAGATTTTTAAAAAGTTCAGGGAAAGGATGGGCCTGATCCCATGTCCTGAGTGGAGTGGAGACTTTAGAATGAGACAGCCATGGGTTTGAATCTTGGTTCTGCCACTTATAGGGTCAATGATCTGAGACTCAGTCATCTTATCTGTGAAAGGGGTGTAATATCCACCTCCCAGAGTGTTATGAAGAGTAAGCTGAGACACAACAGAACAGACAGTTAATCAGTATTAAAATCCATATCAAAATATTCAATAAATAATAAAATGAATTAAAATAGGATTGGGGGCTCTAGAAAAAGTGACAATTCGGCAGCAAATCGTCTTGGCACTGAAGGAAAGGACAAGTGGCAAAAAAGGTTAGAAATCAAGCATGAACGTGGTACCACTTTTCCACCTACAAATAAGCAAAGATGAATTCAAATAAAAATGCCTAGTGTTGAAGAAGGTTTGAGGGTTTGGGTTCATGCACCTTTCTGAATGGGCAGGTAAATCACACAAACTTCTGGGCGGCAAGTTAACAATTTTTCAATACCTTAAAAATCCAGCAGTTCTCGTTCTTGAAATTTATCTTAAGGGAATAATTAGAAATGTAAGTTAAGAGGACTAGTCAAAAGTGCTGTTGGTAAATAGTAAAAAAATTGGCAACAGCCTAAAGTATCTCACAATAAGAGATTGGTTAAATAATTGTTACAACCATTGGATAGCACATATGTAGCCATAAAAGTAGACAATGTCGATCTATATTTATTGACATGGATAGATATTCAAAAATATTATGTGACAAATGCAGGCTAATAAACAATATAAATATTATGGCCTCTTTTTCAAAAGTATATATCTATATCTATATCTATATCTATATCTATATCTATCTATCTGTCTCTCTCTATATATAATACAGACCTGAATGCTTATAGTTGGTTGATAGAATGTGCTTTCGATTGAGATATAATTCGCATACCATAAACTTCATCATTCACTTTAAAATGTCATTTTTAAGTGTACAATTCAGTGATTTTTAGTATATTTATAGAGTTGTGCAACCATCATCACTATTTAATTCCAGAACATTTTCATTACCTGAAAAAGAAACTCAATATCCATTAGCAGTCACTTTTCTCCTTAGCCCTAGCAACCATTAGTCTTTTCTGTCATCGTGGATTGCCTATTCTGGACATTTTATATAAATGAAATCATACAATATGTAACCTTTTATGTCTGGCTTCTTTTAGCATAATGTCTTCAAGGTTCAGCCACATTGTAGCACGTGTCAGTGCTTCATTCCTTTTCATTGCCAAATAATATTATGTTGTGTGGATATAGCACATTCTGTTTCTCCATTCATTGATTCGTGGGCATTGGGTTGTTTTTAATTTTTGGCTATCATGAATAATGATGCTATGAATATTCTAGTACAATTTTTATGTGGACACATTTTTAATTCCTTTGTTTATATACTTAGGAGTTCAATTGCTGGATTATATGGTAATTCTATATTTAACTTTTTAAGTAACTGCTATACTGTTTTTCTGTTTTCCACAGGAGCTGCACCATTTTACATTTCTACTAGCAATATATGAGATTTCCATTTTCTCTACATCTTTGCTAATACTTGTTATTTTCTGGGTTTTTTGTTAATAACCATCCTAATGGGTTTAAAGCAGTATCTCACTGTGGCTTTGAATTGCATTTCCTTAATGACTAATGATGTTGAGCATCTTTCCATTTGCTTATTGGTTATTTATATATCTTCTATGGAGAAATGTCTATTCAAATCCTTTGCTGGTTGATGGGATTTTGATTGTTTTCTTTTTTGTTTTTCCACATTTCTGGTTTGTATGCAATGACAAGAATTGCTTGTGTAGTAATGAATGGAAGACTCAAGATAAAGGCTGGATGTGACTACATGGTGGTCTCTGGAGACCCTTGAAGGCAGAGCCACTAACTTGGGCCTTGGCTCCTAGGCAAGACTCGTCCCACTTGGTCAGGTGTGACTCTCCCGAAAAAGGAGAAGCCCCTCTGGCCCTGGCTCAGGGGCACATTACAGGAAGAAAAGGCAATAATCAGAAGTAGGTCCTGATTTTAGAGAGAAAATTCAGAGTCTGACAGAGGGTTTGGTGGCAGGTGGAACAGGGTTAGGTCTAGGAATATCTCA